AATAGTTAGTTAGGGGCTTCTTCTTTTTATCAGCAATAATGTTACTGATGACGTTGATGCCAATGTTAATACTGCTGATAATGATGACGATGATGATAACGTTAGCGCTGATGATAATAGTGACCAAATAGGGGAGGGGGAGGAGGGGGATAAAAAAGAAAAAAAAAAAGGAAGACGATAACGAAGAAGATGAAGAAACGAAACGGCTTTTAATCCTTTTCAATATTTAGCCTAAGGCTTGTAAAACGTTTATTAGTAAAGGATTGAAGTGAGCCTTAACGAAGCACATTCTTTAGGCTTTGATGATTGTAACAATTCTTGGCTAGCCATGCAAGCGCAAATGCTAAACGATTGAAGTCTTCTTTATCCATCCAATCTATTCATTCATTGAAACATCATTTACAAAATCCTCCCACCTCCTCTTCTCCATTCCTTTCATCTTATCCTTTCCTCCTTTTCCTCCTCCTCCTTCTCCTCCTCCTTCTCCTCCTCCTCTTCCTCCCCCTCCTCCTTCTTTCCTTTTCCTCTTCGTTTCCTTTCCACTTAAATCACCGTAATCTGTCTGATATTTAGTATGTAATATATTTTCATGGATCATTTCCTTTAACTAAATGCATTGCTTACCATATATGTAAGCTTATCATTCCTCTCATTTTGTTCTATTCCCTGAAGAACTCAACCTTCCGGAAGCTTTCAACAACAACGGAACACGATAGCACATCCTATTTGTCCCATTTAACAAACTACCGTATCCCTCTTTCCTTCTCATTCCTTCTCCTCTCAATCTTTTCCAAATTACTACTATTATTATTATTATTATTATTAATCATTATCATTATCTCGTGGTCATTATCTCTATCAAATCATTCGCTATGATTCGCTGTTATCAATTTTAGTCAACATCCTTTCTGATTCCTTCGCTTATTTTTTCATTACACTTTTGATTTCTTTCTTTTCTTTTTTTTCTTTTAAAAATGAACCTAAACGGAGCAAAAAAATGTCAGATTTCAAATCAAAATTATTATCAAGCGAAGTTATCATTTATGCTAATTGTCATCATTGTAAATGTGCTAAAATTCAAAATCGCAAATGTCATTTACCGTAGTTGTATCCATAAATAGTTCGCATATGCTCATAAGAATTGATTTATTAACAAACATTTATCGATATTTTTGTTTATTTCATTTCATATTTTAAGTAATAATCACCAATTTTCTTCAATGATGTTATTCAACTAATTATGCAATCGAAATTTTCTTCTCCTTCTATCACTCCATTTTTCTTCATTTTTGTTTTTTTTTTCAAATTTAAAGTTTTCCCATTGATGATTTTATTTTGCAACAAATTCATCGGTTCAAAAACTAATGAAAATAACAAAAAGAGTGAAAATAAATCATACAAAAGGTGGTAAGTAACAAAAGCACGAAACATTGCAATAATTAACCATAAAATGATTGATAATTTCATTTTCAATTTTTGTATTCAATTTTTCATTCGTTTCTCCATTTTCTTCAATAATAATTAGTGCATCAAACTATTATTACAATAAATTAATGACAGCAACTACAATAATGCATTAATAATCGATGTACAATAAGTTGAAAATAGCTATTGAAATAAATTACACAATAAGTGAATAATAACTATCGCAATAAACTTAAGCAAGAGTATATTCGTAAATTTATCACACTCAATAAGTCAATAACAGTTACTACAGTAATTTTAACAGTTGTGACTACAATGAGCTAATAGTAGCAGTAATAGTAAATCAGTAAGATTAATAACAGCCACTGCAATAAATGTATGATATTAATTGTTAGGTGCAAAAATTTACAACGTTTAGTGTTGAAAGTTAATTATTTAATTTTAATTTTTGAGAGTTAGTTATTATTTATTTAAT